CCTCCCGCCCGTTTCACACCGACCCGACCGTCTCGCGCCGCTTGGCCTGCGCGCCCCGCCCGCATCAGCCTGCTGCAGCTGCTCGGTCGTGTGTACCTCCGTCGGCCCGTTCCCCCCTGGCCCCGCCTCCTCCTGCGTCAGCCTGCTGCAGCTGCTCGGCCGTGTGTACCTCCGTCGGCCCGTTCCCACCGGGCGACTCAAAAAAAAAAAGTTTTCGGCCCCCGCATGGCCTGTCAGCTCGTTCCCACTGGGAGACTCGAGAAAAAAAAGATTTCGGCCCCCGCGTGGCCTGTCAGCTCGTTCCCACCGGGCGACTCAAAAGAAAAAAGAAACGCTGTACCTTCCCCGGCTTCCCGACCTTGTGCAGCAGATTCGGGTCCGCCAAAAACCGACTCGCGTGTCGCCCTTTTCGCCGCGGCCACTTCCCAGCACCGGCGCGCCGTTGGTTCCCCCTTGCCCACTGCCCGACAGAGGTCCCGCGCGGCGGCGGCCGGTTTCTGTTGGGCCCCACGCGAGGACCGCTATTTCCTTTAGTAGTATAGAGAAGATTCTAAAGAACGAATTGCATTGTATGATTGTATCTCTGTTTTTCTATTTTTGTTTTTTTTTTGTCGTTGGTTTTCTTACTTTTTTTTCTGTTTTTTTGTGTTTGTTTTTTGTTTTTTGAAAGGACTGTGCCGTTACCAGTAGTTCTAGGCTCGGCAGGGCTTGGCGTACCGGTCACGTGACGTACGGATTTGATAGCTGGGAAAGGTACTGGTGGTTTAAACAATGTGGGCAAGACACGGGAGTAGGAGGAGGGGAGAGCATCCTTCGGGACATCCATTTAAACTGGAACGATACTAGAGAAGGTTAGCATGGCCCTTGAACAAGGATGACACACATAGATCGAGAAATGGTTCTTGTTATAAAAAAAAAAAAGGGAGAGCAAGAGGAGGAGCTGGAGGAGGAAGGAGGCACAATGAAGAGGAGGAGGTGGAAAATGATGAGCAGCGAATGAAGAGGATGGAAGGCGAGAATGCAGAGGGGGTGGTGGTCAACCTTCTGCTCCCCCTCCCACCACACACACACCACAAGTGGCTAACAGAGAGCCCCACTTTTCAGCCCTAGGTTAATGACGATGATGAACTCGATGATATGCACCTGCAACGATGCGAAAGAAAAGGAATGGAGGAGGAAGTATATCCTTAATGACGAACTTGATGATATGCACCTGTAAGGATGCGAAAGAAAAGAAATGGAGGAGGAAGTATATCCTTTCTTACGTTTCTAGCTGCAGTGGTGATGTCAACAAATGGAATGACCATTTATGGTAGGAAACTCCTAGTGAGAAACGAGG